TTCAGCCATAGAAGTGGGAACTCAGGTCATGTGTGTGGCTGCCTGGTGTTCATCCAATGGGTGCTGTCTTGCGGACTTTAACGTTGGTGACATTGGCACACTCAGTTATAGTCGTGCATTAGGAAGGTGGGGATTGGAGAGGGTCAGAGCGGTTGAATGGCTCATGGAAGATCAGGCTGTTCAGCAGTGACTGAGCTAGAACTTGGGTCCAGTTGATGGCCCTCCTCCTTGAATCCCGTTGAGAAATTCGCAGCTCTCGGGAAGTTGAGTGTCAGGCGTCACTGCTTCAGGGAAATGCTAGTAATGGCATTTGCCTCTCTTTCCCCTGGCTGTGAAGGGGTGATTTCTTACAGTGAGAGATACACCTTCCCAGGTGGAACTATTTAAGAGTCAGACAATCTGGGTAACTGACTTAATTTTAGGGCATCTCAGAAAAACGTTTGTGACCGTGGCTTTAAACAGTGTGAGGTTAGAAACCAGGTATCCCCAGCACCTGGCACAGAGGGAAGACTCCCTGAGTAGTTGTTGAATAAATGACCTTTACATAATCTGATTAAAAGGAATCAGACTCACAGAATTAGGATTACCTAATGCAGATTGAGCTCCATGCACCCCAGATGAGTGCAGTTAGCTTTTAAAATTAAATTCATCTGGACAACTCTCCTTGCTTATCTTTTTTTTTTTTTTTTTTAAGATTTTATTTATTTGACAGAGAGAGAGAGATCAAAAGTAGGTGGAGAGGCAGGCAGAGAGAGAGAGAGAGAGAGAGAGGAGGAAGCAGGCTCCCCACTGAGCAGAGAGCCCGATACGGGGCTCGATCCCAGGACCCTGGGATCACGACCTGAGCCGAAGGCAGAGGCTTTAACCCACTGAGCCACCCAGGTGCCCCCTTGCTTATCTTTAATGACGAAAGCATCAGGTCCCCATTTTAAACATAAGCTTTTGTAGCCACATGTGATGTTCCTCACATAAGCCGTGACTTTGAGTTTAAAACCTGATGCTCCTTTGTCTTGCTCCCACTTTGAAGGGTAGATATCTTCATTTTTGTCTATGATTGCTGATTTAATTAATTCTAAGAGACAGAGGTCTTAAAAAATGTCAAAGCTGAGGATCTTGGAGTCATCTTTAACAATGTAGAAAGACCCTGCAGGGAGTGTGTGCAGTGAAGTGACTACAGTCTTCCTTTTGCATTTTTTTTTTAGAAAATTTATTAAAATAATTTCAATTAGCCAAGCTCTGCTACATTTTCCTTATTGGACTTTCAGTTTATTTATAGGGGTATAGTGTATAAATATGCATTTTTTTCTGATAGGGTATCTCAGCAAATGCTTTAAATGATATTGTTGAGAACATAAAGTCTGAAGCCTTACTGTGGTTGATAACTGGTAATTTTAATTTAAGATGTCTTAAGAATGCTTTACTGTTAATTGAAAGGATTTTTCCCCCAGTATCACAGCCAATGGCTTGTCTTGAGCAGCTAATTAGTCCGATTATTCCACAGCTGCATTTGCTACAGCACAAAGGTTTGCTCCTGTTTTTATCAAAAGGATCAGTCTCTCTGGGAATGTTTTAACCTGACAGGCTTTGAATAGTAAGGCTGGTTATTTATTTATTTATTTTTTAAGAGCTGTTCTCCGGCTCCTTCCTTCCCCCCCACCTTCCTTTTTTCGTTCAAGAAGCTGCATTTGAGCTTTGAACACACGCTCAAAAATGTGAAAATACCTTTGCTTTTTATGCTCTTCTAAATAGAGCCTTGCCTGGTGAATAGATTATTTTGAGTAACGTCTAGGTGTTCCTACTGTGTGGATGAGTACATGATATTAAAATAAGCGGGATATTCACATTGTTTAATCTGTATGTGTCTATAAGAAACTGTAAAGGACAGAGGATTTAAGTCTTCTGGAATGCTGAAGATCTCCAGGAGAACCAAGGCACTGATACTCTCAGCACTTTCTCTTCCTACTGTCAAAATACAGTCTGTGATGGACCCTGTCTCTTTTCCTCCAGACAAAGGATGACTTTGATTACCAAGTCATTCCTTCATGTTCGTAAATTAGTTCATGTTCCTCGTGTTTTTAAATTAGAGACATATATTCTGCCATTGAGAAAAATATTTTGGATTTTTTGTAATTTGGGGGTAGTAGAAAGAGAAAGAAAGAAAGAGCAGAAAAGAAAAAAGAAGAACAGAAAAGAAAAATAAAGCAAGAAGGAAAAGAAAGAAATTAACCTCTAGTTCTGCTTTCCATCTGACAGCTAAGATCACCCTGATACAGTCCCTACTAGGCATGTGTATTTGTGTACATACACACACACACATTTTACTTATTTTAAAATTAAAACATAAATACTCTTTTGATTGCTACTTTTTATTTTATCCTTATTATAGACTTTTCTTACTCGCTCTGTAGTTGTGCAGTTTTTTTTAAAGTAGTATATCAAATTCATGTATTAACAACTTACTTTTTTAGAACCAGTTTTATGCTTAAATCTCATAAATGGCTTTATTTTTTCCCCCGTTTTATTGAGGTGTAATTGACAAAAGCTATATATGTTTCAGGTGTATAACGTGATGACTAGATATATGTGTATACATTGTGAAATGATTACAGTCAAGCTAATTAACACATCCATCGTGTAGTTACTATTTCTTTTCTTTTTCTTTTTTTCTTTTTTGCTATGAGTAAGGTCCACTCTTACAGCAAATTTCAAGTGTGCAATAAGTATTGTTACTGTAGTTGCCTTGATGAACATTGGATCCCTAGAACCTAACCTCATAACTAAAAGTTTGTGCCTTTTGACCAGGCTCTCCCCTAATAATTTATGTGGTCATTCTCATATTAGGGGGAAGATTTAGGAGGTTCAGAATTTTTTTTTTTTTAAGATTTTATGTGTTTATTTGACAGAGAGAGATCACAAGTAGGCAGAGAGGCAGGCAGAGAGAGAGGAGGAAGCAGGCTCCCTGCCGGGCAGAGAGCCTAATGTGGGGCTCAGTCCTAGGACCCTGGGATCATGACCTGAGTTGAAGGCAGAGGCTTTAACCCACTGAGCCACCCAGACGCCCCAAGGTTCAGAATATTTTGCAATGTGTAAATAGCTTTGCAATGTCAAGTTTTCCACATTTTGAATTATGTTTTTAGGAAAACTATCCATCAATGAAATTTCTGAGTCAGATTGTCCGAACAGTATTAAAGCTTTTTGATAAAGTTGTTTTTCTTGTGCTTTTCTTAATATGCCTTAAAGGATTGTGTCAGCAATGGCTCAGACTAGCATTATTGGTACACTTGTATTGGTAGTGAACTTTTTTTTTTAATTGGGTCATACCGTGAATACTTTTTATTTTTGCAGCTGACTTTTCTAAGTTTATTATATTGTATAGACTTAACTACACCATAAACATATTATTTCTTCAGCATTTTGAATGGCTGCATAGTATTACCTTATTTGATCCTATCATAATTCCCTGAATTGATTTCCTGTGGTGAGCAGTAAGTTAACTGCTGGTTTAATTTTATCGTGTAGTTTTATGGAACCGTTTAAGAGAGAAACACAAACATCTCATCTGTTAGCATGTTTTGTTACCTGCAGAATTTGAAGGTTCTTGTCTTTAAGGAGTTCATGAGGACGGCCAATGGCTTAAAGGCTTTATTTTGTCTTTTGTTGGAAGGTAAAGACCATACTGGGGTTTTATACTCAAGGAAGGAAGCTAAAGCCTTACATATTTATTTCCCTTGATGAGCGACTTCTTTGAGAGTGAATATTTTCTCGAATGTTACTGTTTTTCCGTTTCTAGGCACCAAGGTTTTGTACTGTTTGCCCTAAGCAGAATTTTTTTTTTTTAAGAAAACCAAATTGCTGGAAGTAAATAATCAATGAAAAATTCTAGCTAGTAATAATAGCAAGGACAAACCTTTATTGAAGTAGTACTACATGGCCCTCATTGTACTAGGCAATTTATGTGCATTATTTTACTGAATCGTCTCCAAATCCCGAAGAGGTAGGACCATAAAATACAAGGAACGTAACAGAAGTTTTTAAAACCCCCTCTTTCTCTGATAAATGAGTAAATGTGTAAAAAAACTATTATTATCCCTCTTTTCCGGATAAGGTAACTAAGGCAGAGGGAGGTTGAATAAACTTGTTGATGCTGTAAAGCTGGCAAGATAAGCAGTTGCAACCCATATTTAGGAAAATTAGGAGGTCTTTTCTTCCTAACTTAGGACTAGTGTTTAAGCTTTTTCTGTAATTTTGGATAGAGTGAGCACCAGAACCATCAGAAGTAGGCCGCATGGGGATCTCGCAGACGCGTGTAGGGGAGAGCTTGCCAAGACGAATCAGGAGAAAAGACCGTACAAAGAACACCAGACGGAGAACTGTGTTGTCAAACCAGCCTGTCCTCTGCCCCGTCCCCGGAGCCCGAAGTTGAGCCCAGGGTTAACCTTCCTGGTCCAAATGCTTCTTTCCTCAATGGTTTTTACTTCCCATTTCCTCACAGAATCTCCCCATGACAAAGTTCACCTTTTCTTGAAATTATTCCACGTTAGTAAACATCTTCGACATCTTCAAGGAATTTAGATAATGTGTAGGAGTAGTTATTTGGTTAGAGTCAGTTATGAAAAAGCAAATCAAGCAATTTATTTTTAAATGTGGAAATCTGGGTGCCATTAAGACGCACTGCTTCTTGGCACTTCATATGGCGGCGCTATATTTGGTGGTGATGAGTAGTATGTGGTATAAAATGTTAAAAAAAAATTAAGCCGCATGATAAAAATGCCTAGATGCAATCAAGCTGCCTTATTTTAATTCAACTCCTAATGACTTAAATCCTGTCACCTCTTGATTTTCAATTATGTGGAGTACCATTCTGCAACTTGATTATATTCACACAGGATCATTTCATAGTTTGGTGCAATTTAGGATCCCCCCTAAAATGCCAACGAAAGGTCTCATTAGGAAACTAAATGTTGTGCCTTTTTTTTTTTTTTTTTTTGGTTTTCCCACAGCAGTTCCGAGGAGCATCCTGGGGCCTCCAAGCCTCCGATAAGCTCCTCCAGTATGACATCACGCATCTTGCTACGCCAGCAACTCATGCGTGAGCAAATGCAGGAGCAGGAGCGCAGGGAGCAGCAGCAGAAGCTGCAGGCGGCCCAGTTCATGCAACAGAGAGTGCCTGTGAGTCAGACCCCAGCCATAAACGTCAGCGTGCCCACCACCCTTCCCTCCGCCACCCAGGTGCCGATGGAAGTCCTCAAGGTACGTGAGTGTCACTCTTGTCGGTTGGGCCAAGCCCTCTTCCAGACCAACATTGTCCATTTCCTAGGTATTTTATTTATCTGAATGTGTTTTTGGTCAGATTAACCCATCTGAATCCTGTTTGTCTTGTCAATGCCAACTCTACTGACGCTACCTGGCTTTGCATGTTCAAGGAAGGGCGCAGAGTAAATGCGAATGGAGTAGTAGCCCTCACTAAGCGGGGGTAGAGAGTCGATGTTGCATGAGAAACAGCAGGTAGGAATAGGCATCGGTTGTAATGATACCTTTCCATTTTTTCGTTGGGAGAATTTCAAAAATGTACATGTTACCTGAAATGAATCTCATCTAATAATGTATTTTTTTTTCCCCCTCCATATATTCCATGGCGAGCCTCTTAATTTTCTTCTTTATTTAGTAAGTAAGCTTGGCTGTAGAATCTGACTGGTTTAAAGAAAGTCTCTTCTGGGATAAAACTGTAGGAGAGCTTTCTTCACTTTAATAACCAGAATGTATAATCCTTTAACTGAAGAGGTCTGTTTGGGGGCTCTTTGATTTCTTGCTAGAGTAGAAACTGCAGGAGCTTGTTAACATCATTCTATCAGGGACATATAGCTTCCTAATTACTGGGGAAAACTGTAACAAGTCTAAGAATAGAATTCCATCTCACACATGCCCTCCACCTCACGTTGGCCACGCTCCTTGTTTAAAGATAAACATTCCAACTCTTAAATATGATGGAGACAAGGAAAGCTAAAAGGAAAGTAAGGGAACTTCCTTACTTAAAAGAACATTTTTTAAACCCATTCACCTAATTGATTCATTCGAAAGAGTCCCAAGTGTTAGTGTTCATTAAACAATGTGAACTTTACACTCTGGTGATTCATTGTTGGTCTTCGCATTCATTCGTGTGCTCAGATAAAAAACATCTCCCACTATTTAAAGTTTACAATGAAAGTAAATAGAGGGATGATGTGTTATAACTGGAAGCAATATATCACTCTTACCAGGAAGTGGCAAAGATTCTTGAAAAACAAATTTAAAGTCAATTGTTTTTTATTTGCATAGACCCTATTAAGATGTATTGATGAAATAATGAAGCTCTTTCATGAAGAAAACAAGCAGAAATTTGGTGAGGGCAAAAGAGATCCAAACAGTTTAGCATAAAATATTACTCTGATGTGGTTGAAGTTCTAGATATTGCCGCAATTAATGGCTATTTTGTTCCCCTCCCCACTGCCCCCATAAAGACAAATTTTCTTTTGGGACTAGACTATACATTAAATCTTTCCGTTCTGCTTGGGTGAAAATTGACAAAAACTAAGTTTTTATAATTAAGATTTACGTTGTCTGGTGTTCACAGGAATCACAATTGTTTTGTCTATGTCTTTTAAGGCTAGATGAATTTAAAGTTATATGAATTAAATTATAATAAAATGTGGAGAAATATGTCTGTTTTATTCACCGTAATAGTCTACTTTTTAAATCTGAAGGATACATAGTAGAAGAGATGACATGGATTTGTGCTAGTAGTGATTTGTGTCCAATTCAAAGGTAATGTTTCGTATTGTATTAAAGTATATTACTTGCAAACAGTATTTCTATTCAGGCAATTACATGTGATGGTGCGGAAATCACCCATATGCAAATGCATTGAAATACCGTTTTTGTATCATCTTAAAAATGGACATCATTCCTAAATGTTTTTATTACTTAAAATGTTATTTTGAAAATGCTTAGAATGAAAACCTGTACTATGTGGTTTGAATAATACACCCATTTTTCCTTATATATTGCTGTGTCCTGGTAACGGTGATTGGAGCTACAACCTTCAAGTTAGGTATCACAGAAAAATGCCAAAGTTGAAGCACAAATAAATTTATTACAAGTAGAAGTCCCAATCTAACTAAAAATGAGCAATTGGTATATCTGTGTTTCAAGTTGGATATAGTTTTTTGACTTGTGCATTTTTATATTTCAGTGTATAAAGTAGTGATATCATATTTTAAAAAGTTGGCATAGCACTGCAGATGGGTTTGATAGTTATTTAGACAAATTGTAGTGCCCTTTGATAAAAGACCAAGTAAAATATGTAATTGCCTATAAAATGACATTCTAAGAAATTCAAATAATATTTTTGAGGAGGGTAGTATGTAAGGGATGGCCCCAGATATTTGAGGATTTGTTACTTAAAAATAGTTTATATATTTTCAAAACTTTTATATATGAAAATATTATGAAAGATTTACTATAGAAAGGTATGTGAGAGAAATGTTTTTTTTTTCTTTTCCCTCGTATGGTTTTTAAATCATAAGCATAGTTTTGTAAAGTTAAATGGTTAACTTAACTAAAAACAGTTAATTTTTTCAGTCTTGGACTCTTTCTACAAATATACATTTGTAAGGAATGAGTAATAGCAAGTCTAGTAATTGAGTGCATTATGATACAGATTATGTTGAACAAGTATTTTTTCATAGTGTAGCCTCAGTAAATTCTTCATTAAACTTTTAAGATTTAAATTGTCAAAACAGAACATACCTGCTTCTCAGTGGAGGTCGATGTGTATACTCAGCCGTGGTTACAAGTGCTAGAGAATCCTGGTTAAATCTCCCCATCTCCTACTGGTTTTCGAGAACTTGATGGAAGATCACACACGCAAACTCATTACCAACATTTTACTATCAGTGGGTTGAATGATTTTTGAAAAGCTAACTTCATGTTTTCAGATTAATTCCTTTTTTTGGCAGAGTTAGACTTAAAAAAATGGAACTTTATAAAGCATGTTTAAAAATTGTTGACAGCTTCCTGTAAACTTAGGTCCAGTCTTTGGAATTCAGATTAGAGGTTGGAAATATGCATTACTACTTATTCCTCACATTTTCGCTGTTTAGTCTGTAAATTCACAAAGCTTTGTAGGATTAGCTTCTTGTTTCTATATTTATTTAATTACTTTGTGGATTTGTTCTCATGGTGGGTAATACAGACTGATCAGTCTTACTGCTGTATATTTAAATATTAGCTATATCGTCTGGATTTCTTAAAAACAACCTGACTCCATTGGGTATTATAATTAAGGATGCTCTTTGTCATAAATTAACGAACACTTAGCGTACATAATGCATTGTTCGTCACAGCGAGCACACCTCGTATTTCAAAGTATGAATTAACCAAAAAATCATTAAGAACCATTAATGGAAGCAGTTTCTTCCACAGGTGACATGGGAGTCATGCATATCTTAGTTTTGCGGTTTGATCTGGCTTCTTTCAAACAAAAGCAGAGGAACCAGGGGTGGACTCTGCAGACACATGTCAGGTCTCACAGTTAAAGAGCCATCACAGTACCATGCACTATGTTACCATCTGCACACACCACGCATGTGTTCTCACCGTCGCATCTGTAACACGGACTGATTGGAGGAGCGCCTGGTTGCCCTGACCTTGGATTGGCAAGTTCATCAGAATTTTTCCCTTCGTTCCCTCCCACAAGAAGGTCTCTGACAGCTCATAACTTGAAAACATTATAGTTTGAAGACATTTCTCTGTTCAGAATTTTGTAGGGAATCACCAAGGTTTTCCCTTCCTTCCTCCATCCCCTTCTTCTCTTCACCTTGGAATTTAAAAATTTAAAGGTTTAGGATATTTTAAGTTATTTGCAAGCCTATATTTTTAAAAATTTTTTTTCCCTTTTTAAAATCTCGGATAATCCAAGAAGTGAGCAGATTGCTGGAAAATTTGAAATGGTGCTTGGTGTCCCGTGAAACGTACAAGCAGTTTACCAGGGGCTGCTACATTGTCAACTCAATTTACTTTGGCATTTATTTGGTTGTGTAATAATGTGGCATACTGTTTAGATAGTTACTCTGGTAGGTCAGGATGGAAGTCCTGCTTCCTTGTCACCTTGCTCTACACCGAAATTCAGTAAGATTTCACTAGTCAGGGAAAGGTGCGTGACTTAGCTGCTGGCCTTTTGTCCATAACTTATGAAGAAGACCTGGTGTAGCATTTTTAAGGCGTTGCTTCTCCTTTAGGTGAATACAGAAACATGAAAAAGGATATGTGGAGTTCCTGGGGGTTGGTGGGTTATAGATTAGCAAAAGGGACTATTTCCATACTCCACTATGCATGTAAATTTTGTTCCTGATTTATTGAGCCGGGAATACAGAACCTTATGAGTATCATGGTGGCTACAAGAAGCAGAAACAGGTGCAGGGGTCTCAGATAGGCTCACATTGTTCCTCTTAATTACGAAATCTGTTGCTACAGGTGCTGTCCCTAAAAGAAAGGATATCTGAGAATTCTGTTACCATAGTCTGGGCCATCCCATATTTATTCTTGTTCATCTGTGGTCCGTCATATATTTTTGTCACTAGATGGTGTGACATAGACATTCTGTGAGCCCGATTTCAGAACTGTTTATAAACTTTGGGGTCCTTTCATTTTTGGATCAGACTTGGGGTCTGGAAGGCCACGCCTTCGTTGGGGGGACTAACAGATTCCAGGTTCAAACAACTTCTCATCCTCCCAGAGACCTCATTTCCCTATAGGGTCTTTGAGTCTTCTGTTTGTATCATTTTGATATGCTCATCGTGACACATAAGGTAAATTTTTTTCTCTTCAAAACTCATTTTTATTGATTTTTAAAAATCATAGACCATGTTTGTTAACATGGAACCAATTTTAACAGCGGGGAAGAAAAATCCAGCTGGAAACTCTTCCTTCTTTCCTCTCTCTCATCGCTTTCATCCCTCAAGCTCCCTGGAAGGAGCTGCTCTTAGCAGTTTAGGGTACAGCCTCCCTGACCGCTGCTGTTTTCCCACCCTACAGTTGCCTTTCGTGGGAGCGAGGTCTGAAGAAATATATTAGGCAGCTTTGATCTGTAGTCATAAACCCTGCCTTTCTCTTTGTTCACATTTATAAACAGAACAAAAGAAACAGAGTTTCTTTTTCTGGGACTCTACTTTGAGACTCTTGCTTCAAATTTTTCTTCTTAAAGCAAGAGTGGG